TTTCATTGAACCTGCATTTTATAATTAATAATACCCCACCTCAATTCATTTCTTATTCTTCTTCTTCTTCTTCTTCTTCTTCTTCTTCTCCTCATACAATACCCTTCACCGAAGCTTAAAACTTTTCTCAAGAAGAAATTCAAAACCAAGAAAACGGAGAGCGCAAAACATTTATAACATTGTTGGTTAAAAAATTGCAATTAAAAATAATTATAAAGGCAAAATATTTTTATTTTGGATTAGTATGAGGGATAATGAAGCCGAAATATCACTCTTTATAGGGGGCGGCTCAGCCACACTAGGGGCCTAAAGACAAAATTTAATGGAGGCCTTAAACTTAAAAAGAAAATCTTAATTTATTTGAAGAAATATTGAATGGAGGCCTTACAATCGATTTCTCTAATTATTCTTTTTCAATTGATAATATAGCTAATTCGTTTAATATTTCTTGATACATTGTTGCACTTAGGTAAGTCTAAATCATTTAACACCTTTAATTTAGAAAATAAGTCTAAATCTTCAATATTAGAGTGACTATTATATTTTAAGAAATATTGAAGAACATACGCTCAAATTATTTAAATCTATTCTGAAGTGAACTTGGCTTGGGCTACTACATATAAAAAGTAATAAACTTAAAAAATAAATTCTTCAAGAGACTTTGTGATTATCAACATTCTCATCAATTTTTTCCTTTCTATAAATTATACCATTATTATCAAATCCGATTTTTATATTTCAGTGGTGAAAAATATTTTTTTGGTTGAACAATGTAATGAGTAATAAGAAATAATAAAGTTACAATTTTTAAATAAAAATAAAAAAGTCAGAGGTTGAACCCTAGCGACTGGCGACGTTTTTTGAAGCTTGAGCAGGCCAATAATGGCTTCTCCGGCCACTGGCCAGCCTCCTCTCGAGGCTGGTCAGTTGTCCCTACCAACCCCACAGCCCCAAACAATCACTACAAACCCTAATCCACCCATAAATTACGTACAATTACTACAACCAAGTTCATTAAATTCCCCCATGCAAACCCTACCCGTCATTCCCATCAAAATAGTGGAATATCTCAATGGTGAACCTGTGATTAAATGGAAGAAGGAAGAAGTGAAGCAGTCTATAATACAACAAAGATTGACAGTAGCAGTGCTTGAGAAATTCTCGTATGGTAAACCAGTGATCAATGAACTACGTAAGGCAATTTCAATACAACGTGAAGTAAAATGTGCGTGTTTTGTTAGTCTTATTGAAGGCAACCATGTATTGATCAGACTGTCCTTTTTACAAGATTATATTCGCTTGTTGTCAAAGCCTACTTTTTATTTAAAAGCACAAGGGGAGATGTGGCAGATGAAGTGTACAAAGTGGAACCCTTGGTGGACTCCTGATGAGGAAACTCCTATTGCAATAGCGTGGATGAGTTTTCCTGAGCTGCCTCCTAATTTCTTTGATAAGGAATTTGTGTTTTCATTGGCTAGTGCAGTAGAAAAACTATTACATGTTGATTTAGCCACTCAAAATAGTACTAGACCTAGTTGTGCAAAGGTTAAGGTAGATGTGAATTTGTTAGCTAAATTTTCTCAAAGTATCAAAATTGTGAAGGAAGAGGATGATACTGGACCTGAGAAATCAAAGTGGATAAAGATCAAGTATGATTACATGTCAAAGTATTGTAAAATATATAAGAAGTAATGGCATTGTGAAGTAGACTGCTGGGTGATACATCTTGAGTTACATAAATAAGTTGAAGAAGTTATGGAGGATCAAAGTAGAGGAAAGGAATTGGTAGGTACTGCAGCTAATGCTACTAAAGTATTTTTCAGTGATGAGGTGCTTGGGAAACCAATACCTAATTCAGCTAAATAAGAGTGGATGCAACGGAGGCAAAACAAATATCAAAGAGAGAAGAGGGGCCATATTATTGAAGCTCTAAAGGATCAAGAAGTGGACAATTTGAAAGGTAAGAATAAGGAAGAAGCAGTGGTCACAAAAAATAAATTTGATGCTCTTGAAGTTGAAGAAATTGAGCAACTAATATTGAGGATTACTGATGACAAAGGAAATAGTAATGACAAGGCAAAGGAGAAGATGCAGCAGAAGAAGGAATCCCAGAAGGCCAAAGAGAAAAAGAAGTTGGAGAATGCTCAAAATTCCAGTCCATATCCTAAGAGGAATAGGAGTAACAATGTGACAGTATTGAAGCAAGAGGAAGAAGAAGAAAGGCGCATTAAAAAAAAAGCTCTATTACAAGTAGTTAACAGAGAGAATAAGGAGGCAAAGAAGGAGGAGAGATTAAATCCTAATTATATTGGGAGAGTTAGTCCAAGAGAGAAAGGGAATCAAAATGCGACTAAGGAAAAATTCCCTAGTACTAATGACATAAGGATTGAGGAGGGTATTAGAAAGGAATCTACTATAGAATGGGTACAAAAGAGATTTGGTGCAAAGAAGGAAGAATTAATACAACTTAATGTTCCTGTTAATCATTCATGCCATGAAATACCCTCTAAAAAATATAAAGATTCTACAAGGAATGAGGAAAATCAAGAAGGCCAGTTCGGAAATTGTTTTGGAGTGAGGAGGTTGACAATACAGAGTCTCAAATTGATGCAAATATTAGTCCAACAACCAAGCATAAGAGAAGCAAAACGTAGGAACAACTGCCATGCACAATTGATATCGATGCTACAGTAAACCCTAGGGTGCTAAAATCTAGGTTTGAGGGTAGCTTTAGCTCTAGAAAGCAGCAGTCAATACAACCAGTTGGAGCTTATAAAGGATCACCAAAAGAATCTAGAATAACTGGAGGATCAGCTACTGCAGATTCAACTAAGAAACAGGCCAATGTAACAGTAAATCCTAACAGAACTGTTGAGGTTTTGGCCAATGTTGAAGGTGTTTCGATGGACTTTTCAGGTGGTGATCGGGTTGGGGATGTTAATGTGAAGGTCTTAGAGGCTATAATGGGTTCAAAGCAATAAACAGTTGGTGGCAAGGATGGTGATCCCAATAGAACAGTAATTTCTGTGAATTCTGCTACAGTAAACCCTAGCTTGGGTTTAATGTATGAACTATAATTCAAAGCAATCCAGGAGGCAATGGCTGCTCAAGAGCATGGTTCTGAGGTCTTGAAGGATACAAGTGTGGTGCAAGATCACATTGATCAAGATATTGTCCCTAGGAGTACAAGTGTGATTGAGACAATTCCAATGTCATGTGCCTCATGTACTGGATTTCCAATGCAATTTCAGATAAATGCTCCTTTGAAACCTCCCAATCAAGTGTACATGATATTATTACATAATCATTTGCCTGTGGATGTGCACAATGCAATAGTAGAGCAACATAAACTAGAAGAATAGGGTGATGATGAGTCTATTGCTGGGAATAAAGGTTGTAACTAGGGAAGGAGACTTGTCACCTAGAGCTTCTGCAAGGAGCGGGAAGAAAGGGAAGAAGCAAGCACAGAATAAAGAAACACTTCAACCTACAAGAATTTTGCCCAAAAGGGCAGCCTCAATGACTAAATGATGAGTAGGACAATGATTTGAAATATAAGGTTTGTTAGGACTCAACATGCCTTTCAAAGGGTGATCAACATGCAAAGGGAACATGGTTTCTTCATTGTGGAACTTATGGAACCATTTCAAAATGCTAGACACATTCAGAGGTGCATGAGAAAACTAGTTATGGATGCTGCAATATCTAATATTAATGGTAAGATATGGCTATTCTTTGATGCTGTAGTTGAATGGAAATTGTTGATGGTTACTGAGCAGCAGGTGACTATTAAGGTGTATCATCAAGGGCATTGGCAAACACATCATGATAAAATTTGTGTATGCTAAACATCTTATAAGGACTGGTTCTGACCATGCTCCTTTATTGATGAGTTGTGGAGAAGAAGCAATGCAGTTTGTTAAGCCATTTAAATTCCTCAATTTCTGGAACAAGCATGAGACATTCAAGGATGTTGTAAAATAGAACTGGGTAGCTTACTTCATAGGTGATCATTTTATTATGTTCAAGCAGACGTTGAATGGAGTGAAGACTGCCCTATCTCAATGGAGTAAGGTGACATATGGAGATATATTCAAGCAACTAGCTATATGGGAGGATATTGTCAGAATCAAGGAGATGCTATTTGAAGAGGAGCCAACAATTGACAACAGAATTGTTCTTCAAAAGGCTCAAGCTGAATTGAAGAAATATTTGACTATTGAAGAACAATATTAGAAGCAAAAATGACTTGGTTCTTTGAAGGGGATAGAAACACAAGGTTCTTCCACAACTATGTTAATGGTAAGAGGGATAAGTTACAACTCAAAAGAATTCAAAATGGAGATGGAGATTGGATTGAAACACAAGATCTTATGGCCACTGTTGCTGTAGACTTTTTCCAGAAATAATTTTCTCAAGATGCTGATCCTACTGATTTTGAGTTGTTGAATAATGTTCCTACTATGGTGAGTGTAGATCAGAACTTGGAGCTATGCAGAATTCCAACTATAGAAGAGATTAAGGAGGCAATATTTGCTTTGAGTGGTGACAGTGCTAGTGGACCTGATGGTTTCACTGGCATGTTCTTTTAGGGATGCTGGGATATTGTAAGTGAGGATATTTTCAACATGATGCAGCTATTTTATAGTGGTGCTTCACTGCCAAAATTCATAACTCACACCAACCTAGTATTACTGCCTAAGAAGAAAGTGGTGCAAACATTTTCAGATTTAAGGCCAATAAGCCTAAGTAATTTCATAAACAAGTTGATCTCTAGGGTGGTACATAATAGATTGGAAAGGATATTACCTTCATTGATATCCTCCAATCAGTCATGTTTTGTTAAAGAGAGAAGTATATTTGAGAACATGCTACTCACACAGGAGATAGTCACTGACATAAGGTAAAGGGGCAAACCTTCAAATGTAGTGATCAAGCTTGACATGGAAAAGGCTTATGATAGGGTATCTTGGAAGTATTTAATGCATGTTTTTAGGAGAATGGGGTTTTTTGAACAATTTATCAACACGGTATGGAATTTTCTCTCCAATAATTGGTATTCAGTATTGATTAATGACCAAGATTTAGGATTCTCTCACTCTACAAGAGGGGTTAAGCAAGGAGATCCTTTATCTCCAGCTTTGTTTATTCTGTCAGCTGAGGTACTCTCTAGATCATTGAACAAATTGTTTGAATATAGAAGATTTAGGGGGTATGGTATACCAAAGTGGACTGATCCTTTGAATCATCTAACATATGCTGATGATACCATCATATTTGCTTCTGCTGATCCTTATTCATTGGAGAAGATAGTTGAAGTTTTGAGCAAATATGAGTTCACATCTGGACAATTAATTAATAAGTCTAAGAGCTCCTTTTATATGCATTCAAATGTTGTTGGAGCATTGTTCAATTCAGTTGGAACAATCATTGGATTTGCAAGAGGTGGGTTTCCATTTACTTATCTTGGATGTCCAATTTCTTACAAAAGGAGGAGGAAAGATTATTACAATGATCTCATCAAAAAGGTCAATACAAAGTTGCATTCATGGAAAGGGAAATTACTGTCCTTTGTTGGCAAGGCTACATTGATCTCAAGTGTGCTTCAAAGCATTCCTACTCACATACTCTCAGTATTGGAACCTCCTGACAATGTATTGGAGCACTAACACAAGACATTTGCTAGATTCTTTTGGAGTACAAAGGAAGAAGGAAGAAGTAGACATTGGGATAAATGGCAAAACCTATGTCTACCCAAGGGAGAAGGAGGATTAGGTTTTAGATCATTGTTTGTTGTGTCAAAAGCTTTATTTTCCAAATTATGGTGGAAGTTTAGGACATCAAAATCATTATGGTCCAACTTTATGTAGAATATGTACTAAAAGAAAGAAATACCTACAATGGTGCAATTTAGAAATGACTCTCATGTATGGAGGAAAATGTTGGAGGCAAGGGAGGAAGTGGAGCATGAAATCCTATGGGAGGTGAATAGAGGATCTACAAACGTATGACATGAAATCCAAAGTATGGATGGAATGGTTTGGCAACCTTTCTAACCAATCCAAGTCTTTTCCCCGTAGAGAGAAAGGAAATAGCCTCAACCTTAAAGCATCATCAGAGACGTTTGTCTGTTTACACCCCCAGCAAGTGTCCACAAACCCTTTCAAGTGTTTGTACGCATTTTGATTCGAAACCCCGGTGAAGAATCCCCGTTTCTCTAGCAATGTGAGCATAACATTTGTGATTTGAAAGTTACCCGCCCTAATGCGGGGTGGGACTATGGCACTTGCATACCCTTCATTAGGTAACACCCGGTGTGTAGCCGCTCTTTGTGGAGGTGGGGGTGGAACGAGAACGTTGTCTTGACCTCGTCTATTTGCTTGAGGTTCATTTTTCACCAAAAAGATTAGTAACACAGAAGGAAAAGAAGACAATTCACACAAAAAACCAAATATATAGCTAAATCCGTTTTTAGCTCCCCGGAAACAGCTCCAAAAATTGATCTCCTCTAAGTCACACCTCTATTTGAGGTTATGAAACGGTCGATGCAATAGTAATACCCAACAGAGAGTCGGAGTCAAATTCCACAGGGAGCTATATGAATGGGATTTAGAAGTATATATTGTGGTGAATGAGCTTGAACTATCTTAAATTACACTTCCACAGTATTTGGTTATTTCTAGATCTAGTTTAAACTAATATTGCAAGATAAATAATTAAAACTAAGAAATTATTTTTGTTGTTGCTTTCAAATAGTGTAAAAGTCCTAGGGCTATGACCTTCACCTAGGTGTTTGCCTAATGAGTTGTAAACTGTAAAGCTTGTTTCGTTGGTCGGAGTGTATTATAGCTATCAACACTCAAGTACCCACTCAATACCTCTCGGTAAGAGAGTGATTTTGCCCAATTTGGCTTTCTAAAGTCCAAATGGGTATTGAACAAAATNCAATTTGGCTTTCTCAAGTCCAAATGGGTATTGAACAAAATAGTTGATAAAATGCTCAAGTCGGGTTTTACTATCTCTAAGTTCAACCCTTTAATTGGGACTATCAATCTCCTGATTTTATCCCAAATTCTTGTTAGCCAAGTTTTCCTAGACTAAATCTCTCTTTCTAAAAAAGAAATCAAGTCAAATAGGCATGAACTAATATTTGCAACCATTAATTCTACAATCAAAAGCAAGAACAAGACAAAATAATAAACTCCCAACTATAAACAAGCCATAAATCAAACACCCATTAGGTTTACACACCAGGGTTGGGTCACAACCCTAGTTAGAAATCTGGCTACTCATAATGGGTATAGAAGAAAATAAAGAAGAAAAGATAATAAAACTCATATTGCAAGATTAAAAGATAAAAATCCAATGTTAAATCACCAAAGTATGCTAAAGTTGCCTAAAGAGGCAAGTAAAAATGGCTACAGGACTTTCAATATTTCAAAATTTAACCGAATTTCATGAAACTAGTCTATTTATACAAAGCTGGAATTTTCGGACAAAAATGCCCTTTTGGAGCTTCTGCGGCCGCACAATTCCATGTGCGGTCCGCACTTCTCTTCAGTCTTGACAGGAGATGACTCTGTGGCCGCCCAATTCTGGATTGTGGCCACATCTCTCATATTCTTCGGTTCGCACAATTCTTGGTGCGGCCACGTAGGGCTCTTCTGCGGACTGCACATTTCTTAGTGCGGCCGCGTAACTGATTTCTGCGGCCGCACAATTATTGTGCGGTCCGCATTTCTTTTTGAGCTTGAAATGAGACTCTTTGAACTTTAGCTCTTGCATAGCTTCTACGGTCGCACAATAATTGTGCGGTCCGCACTTTGCACTTGGACTCTGTTAAATTTTCTTCACATTCTGCGGCCGTAGATGAAAATCTGTGGTCCGCACTTGAGCTTCTATGCCCGATTTTTGTCCTTGAGTTAAGATCACTCCTTTTTGAGTTGGATTTCATCGTAGTGGCTCATTTTCCAATACTCCTACAATTAAGCACATTTCATCAGTTTTCGAGAATACAATTAAATACTTTTGGACTAAAATAAGAACTAAAAAGCGCTAATAAGTAGTCAAAATCCTCACTTATCAACTCCCCCGAGAAAATAAGGTAATTCCCACCTCTACAAGATAAGAGTTATTCCAGCTAATCTAAGGTATATCAAACACACATCAATTGGGACCAACAATTATCCACAACACTTATGAATTATCAACATGGCAATGATTTGAATTCTTAAGCACAAATAGTTCTAATGTGACACTTGAGCATCAAGAGTTGACTTTATTCATCAAGGAAGCTCTCTCTTTCATGTAGTTCATTGTGGATCCCAAACTCCTTCTCTTCTACTCTCCGTTTGCACCTCACTTAAGAATGTAGCACTCAATTCAAAGTTTTGTGAAAGGTTCACTCATCTCTCTCAAAAGAATGTCGCAAGTACGACTTTGAGTACCATAGGCTTGCCCCTCATGTAAATCACCACTAATGTAAGCTCACTCGGCTTGAAATCACGTAAGGCTTTTTGAGAATGTAATGAAGGCTTTTGGACTAAGGTTGGATATACTAGGATAGAACAGGTTCATCATTTCCTTAAGCACTCTATTTTCTCTTATCGGCTCATGTTATGGCACTTTTAGGAGGCATTGTTTTCCCATAGGGGGTTAGAGAGACTTAGCATCACTCTTTATTTGTCATGATATTCATTTCCTCCTTCTTTGTTTTCTCCATACTTTGCATCATTACCATTTTTTGAAATCCCTTCAATTTTTCAACTTATTCACTTTCTTTTTGTATTTTTTTCTTTTTTGTTCTTTTTTCTTTTTTCTTGCCTTCCCTTTTCTTCATTTCTTTTCTCTTTTTGTGCCTTGATACCTTTTTCAAACTCCTCATTTCTCCCCCAAACTTATGTTTTAGCCAATTATTTCTCAAGAGTGTTAAGAAAAGCTCGGGTGCCAAGAAAGGGTCACTACTAAACGGGTAAAGGCTTGTAACATGGTTATCAAATGAGAAAGGTTTTAGGCTCAAATGGGTTGACTAGGGATAATAACTTTGGTGGGTCATGAAAAATTTCAAGCGGGTCAAGGAGAGGCTACAATCACTTCTCAAGCTAAGCAAAACTTAAAATTCCGCCTAGAAACACATTTGGGGCAAGTTTTAGACCATTTGCACGGGTACTTGGGCTTGCAACAAAATCATCTCACCTCTCACGCAGCTGGAATGTTAAAAAGGATAGAGTCGAGGGCCCATAACGACCATATTCAAGATTGAAAATCACTATGGCTCGACTAAACCATTTGATGATTGCCTAAGTCAATGCAAGAGTCACAAGGTCGCTAATTAGAGCTACTTCTTTCCCAAGAAACTTGTTTTTAACCATAAGCACGTAGTTAAGTGTGCTGGTACCAAGTGAAGTATGTTTGACTCTTTTATTCATTACTAACTACTATTCTTACCTAAACATCAAAAACAGACTCAATTTCTTAAGAAGGTTGTCACGTCATCCATCGTTGAAAAGAATCACCTGGTTCACACAAAAACTACCTTTGGAAAGAACCGTGTCATTAAGAAAATCAAAGGCTTATTGACTACTAAAAACATAAAAAGAAGCTACACAATTAAACATAGGCTAATAAGAAAACAAAATAAAGAAGCTACAAAGAAAGCTATTAAATACATAAATGAATGTACATAGTGAGAGGGGAAAAGATAGAATATATACATCAATAGAGAAAGAGGGAAGAATATATGCATACATAAAATGAAAGAGGAAAATGTTATCAGTTATTACAAACCAAATGTCAAATATCCAAATATCAAATATCCAAATATCAAATATCAAATAAAATCCACTCCCTGAATAAAAATAAGCATTGTCCCCAATTCTTAACAAAATAAGAATAAGGAAAGGTAAGAGTAAAGAGGACTCCCTATGTAGCCTTGGACATCTCTGTGTCCATAGTAGCGTCATCGCCCTCAGTCTCCTCTAACTGGATCTCATCATCTCCGGCTCTGGGAGTAACTGGGTTGGTGAACATCTGGTGCACCGCCTCAGTAGTGTCGGCAGCTATGTCTGGCTCCTCAGACTGGCCAACTGGTGTTGATGGTGCGGCTGGATCTACTGGTGCTGCTGGGTCTGTCCCCATCAGCATGTCAAATGGAAGGTCACCAACTGCTGCTATCTTAGTCACCTCTCTCATCAGTCTGTCAATTGATTTCTTGGATGCCTGGGATTTCTTCATTTTCTTTACCTGCTTCCCGAGCTCCTCAATAACTGTGCCATGTGCTACCAAGGTGTTCATGATGGTGGTCTAGTTCTCCAAGATCTTCTTCAATGTGTCCTCCACTATCGAAGGAATCTGGGGTGCCGAGATGGATGACTGTGCTGCAACAACGCTGGATATGTCAGTCAACTTTGTAGTGGTTGTCTGCATCCAGTTGTTGAGGCTCACCAGTGTTTGGGAGACTCACAGTGCAGATAGTGGATGAGCGGGCATAGGCACCGGCTTGAAAACTGATGTGGAAGGCACTGATGCTGAAGGACCTGAAGAAAGAGGTGGAGGCATAGCTGCTGCACTATCAGAAAGATCTGCTGAGGTAGATGGCATGTCAACTGTCCTAGCAGCTACCCCAGCAGGCTCATCAGACTAGCCTGCAGTAGTAGAAGGATGACCCCTC